ATTTGCAAAGGTTACAAAGTAGACATGACACCGAAACACACAGGGCTTGGTACAAAAAACTGAGAACTCGTTTTGAAACATGCAGCTGAAAGGCCTACCTCTGTTTGTACCATGGACATCCTATAAGACCGCATATCAGCCACCAGCCCCAGTATATCTACAAACTCGTGATCCCGAATGTGCTGTAGGAGCCGATCCAGTGCTATAAAAGTCCCCGTCCGTCCCACGCCGGCACTGCAACACACATATAGATGCAGATCGTCACACAGCACTGTTGCTTGGGGGACAGGATGGGGAAAGAACAGAGAATGGGTTTGATTGCTATTGATCTCCACTCTGTGCAGACATAACACTTGCTTTGCAAATAGTCATCTGAATCATGGAGTCTGATTTATGCTAAGCTTTATGAATTTTAAGTATACCAATGAATGTGTCAGTGCAAGCTCGATACGGGACACTTGGGTGTCAATCCTCAAGGCCTGGGAGCCAGCCTCAAGGAATAGCACAGGGCTTACTTCTGAGTAGACCTGCTTAGGGCTGCACACTTCGTAGGGGTTCACTTACGACCTTTTAAAGGGTACATCTCAGCACTGCAAAGTGTAAATGTGACACGCATGCAGTCAATTGTATAATACAGATATAGACATATAGAAACGTAGCGCTGGAAGGGACCTCCGGGGTCATCTAGTCCAACCCCGGCACAACGGAGGAAATTCACAACTACCTTCCCCCCCCACACACACACACACACTTCACACAGTGATCCCTGCTCTATGTCCAGAGGAAGGCAAAAAACCTCCACGATCTCTGGGCCTATTTGGCCCAGACGAAAATTCCTTCCTGGTCCCGAAGTGGCAATTGGCATTACCTTGGGCATACAAGAAAGGGTCACAAGAGCCAAACACTGGCTCACCGCTTCCTCTCCCCCTCACGATCTGCCTACATTCACAGAATCCGCATTGCTGTCAGATGGCCATCTAACCTCTACTTAAAAACCTCCAAAGAAGGAGAGCCCACCACCTCCCAAGGAAGCCTGTTCCACTGAGGAACTGCTCTAACTGTCAGGAAGTTCTTTCTAATGTTTTGCCAAAAACTCCTTTGATTTAATTTGAACTTGTTGGATCTGGCCCGACCTTCTGGAGCAACAGAAAACAACTCCGGTATCATACTGGTCTGCTCCGTAGGGAGCCGGGATGCAGGTCCTTGCTGAGTGTACATTTGCTGGCAAACCTACCTAATCCTGGCAAGCACTTCTGGCTTGGATCCATATTAGATGATCCATGGAGCAAGAATTCCTGGCAAAGCAGCACGATTTCTGCACCTCCTCCCTCCTGCAGCAGCAACAAATGGGCAGAGGGGTTTTTTGCCCAACAGGGCTTCTAATTGGCCACTGGAGATCTGATTGGCTGGCACAACAGCACAAGGGCCTTCTCTGTGTGACTGAAGGCGTATTTTTAATAGTTTTAAAAACTATATGTTTATTTAACTAAACGTCTGTTTTAAACAGCATCCTGTTAAACAGAGCTTCTGCCTGAAATGCTGAAAAATAACTATTCGCGTTATGCATGACCTCACTGCCTGACATGTCGTGGCTGGTTCTGCCTCTTGGGGCAGCCATTTTGTGGCTGCACCCACCATCTTGTGTCAGTTTCAGAGGGGAGCTGTGTCGGTCCACAGTAGAACAGCTAGAGCCAAATCCAGCAGCACCTTTGAGACCAAGAAGATTTTTGGGTTCAGGTGGGTAGCCATGTTGGTCTGAAGCAATCACATAAAGTTTGAGTCCAGTGGCACCTTTAAGACCAGCATAGTTTAAGATTTGGTGGGGGTGGCAGTGGCTCAGAGGTTAGGACTCTGAGTTGCAGACAGGAAGATCGGCAGCTCAGCAGTTCGAGACCCGAGTGCCGTGTGACGGAGTGAGCTCCCGTCTCTGACCCCAGCTCCTGCCGACCTAGCAGTTCGAAAGCAAGAAATTACAAGTAGATAAATAGGTACCGCTTCGGTGGGAAGGTAACAGCGTTCCGTGCGCCTCGGCATTTAGTCCTGCTGGCCACATGACCATGAAGAAGTCTTCAGACAGCGCTGGCTCTTCGGCTTGGAAACGGAGATGAGCACCGCCCCCTAGAGTCAGATTCAACTAACTTTTGAGCAAGGGAAACCTTTACCTTTACAAGCTTTGCTGGTCTTAAAGGTGCCACTGTACTCGGAGTTTGTTATAAGATATTCAGGGTATAAGCTTTCAAGAGTCAAAGATCCCCTTTTGTCAGATACCTTGTGGACATCTTGTATCAGAATTCCGAAAATGCCCACAGGCTCAAAAAGGTTGGGGACCTCTGGTACAGCCCTATTATCTGTGTAATCTAGCCAATTCAAAATCGAGAGCCAGTCCCGTGTAGTGGTTCGGAGCGCGGACTAATCTGGGAGAACCGGGTTTGAGTCCCCACTCCTCCACATGCAGATGCTGGGTGACCTTGGGCAAGCCACAGTTCTCTCAGAGCTGTTCTCTCAAAAGCAGTTCAGAGCTCTCTCAGCCCCACCTACCTCACTGTTGTGGGGAGAGGAAGGGAAAGAAATTGTAAGCCACTGAGAGTCCGAGTGAGGGGCGGGGTATAAATCCAATCCTTTCTTTTTCTTTTTATATCCCACTGACTTCGATGGGAGAGTTCAGCATGCCCTTAAATGTCTAAAACCAATGGGACTCCAAGAAAAAGTGCTTAGCTTGGGCTAGACTGGGCCTAGATGTTCTCCTAATTGAAACAGATATCCCTAATGGCGACTTGCAAGCGGGGAGGGTGGAAATAATGTATCTTCGATTCCCGTCCACATGTTAATTACTCTTTGGGTGATGAAGCACTTCCTTTGATCGGTTCTAAGCCTATGGCTCATTAATTTCATTGAGTGCCCACGAGTTCTTGTATTGTGAGAAAGAACTCGTGGGCACTCAATGAAATTAATGAGCAGTAGGCTTAGAACTGATCAAAGGAAGTACTTAGTCACCCAAAGAGTAATTAACTTACCTGGCCGGGGAGACACCATGATCACAAAGGTGGTTTTCCCAGGGTGAGGCTCATCCATTGCACTCCAGGTGTGCTGCTGACCCCTGCGATTTCCCCAAATGTGGGGAAGGCAGGTTAACACCAGGGCCTTCTCAGTAGTGGCTCCATACTGGTGGAATGAGCTCCCAGAAGACATCAGGGCCCTGCGGGACCTTTTACAGTTCTGCAGGGCCTGCAAAACAGAGCTCTTCCACCAAGCCTTTGATTAGGAGCTGCTACCAACAACAACTGAACTGTGATAAGGCCCTCTAGGCCATCACCAACAGCCTGCAATATACTGGATACTGGCTCTGGCCATACTCCCTTGTCACCACTCCACCATGGCCTACTGGGATCACTATGTAATGTTATACCACCAGCAGCACTTTATTTGTTATGTACGTGAGTTAATGATGTCTATCACCTGTGTTTTAATGTATTTTAAGCTTGCCAAGTCCCCCCGGGGGGCGGGGAAACCCCCGCCCCAGAGGCCCGTTCCCGGCCGCCGGCAGATCGGGCCCCGGGGGGACCTCCACCCCGACGTGCACGTCG